TTTTTTTTTTTTTTTTTTTTTTTTTTTTTTTTTTTTTTTTAAAGACAGGCCTGGATTCTCCCAAGGATTTTTCCTCCATTTCTGTCACCAATGGAGTTTGGGTTCCTTGCCACTGTAGTCTTTTGACTTGCTTAGTTGGGGACACTTAAGATTTGTCAGTATGCAGTATTTTAGTGACTTGACTGCACGGACACTACTGGATGAGAACTGAACTGAGCTTGATGATGACATCATCCAGTAGTTTTATCCAGAGCTGCTTTATATAATATTCCATAATTGATGAACTTTGCATAGTTACTGAACCGAACTGAATCAATAATGAACTGATTTCAACTGAATAATGACTGTTTACTATTGTCTTTTCAGAGCTATACAGCACAGTTGAATTTTTATCACTGTAAAACTGCCTTGAAACCATCTATATTGTATATAGCGCTATATAAATAATGGTGACTTGACTTGAATGGAAAGAAGAATGAGCTTGAATGAACACTACACAGTGTACATTTGCAGTGGTCACACTCTTATCAGGTGTCTGTTATTGGTCTGATTTTAGAGCTTATTTGGCAGGAACACAAGCATTCTTCAGCCCACGTTTCCACAGATACAGGTCTTTGCAACAAGGCCATGCTTGACCTGCTTTTCAGTGCTGCTCTCTGCTCTTGAAAAGCATAAATGAAGAACGTGAGCTTAGAGTGTGTGAGCTTAGAGGAAAAACAGCTTCTGATAATGTCTTGAAATAGAAACAAGTGTTGCTTATGAGGCTTTTTCTCAATCTCCCTGGTGTGTTGTACCTTATCAGCAATCGAATAGATGTTCGTCATTACCTCAGTCTGTGAGAAGGAATGTGTTATGTGAAAGCGTAACTGAAATCTGTACTGGAGCCGTGACTTATCCTCTTACAGGGGCTTGTTTCTGGAACATTCTGTGTGTGATCTCATATTACATCAGGAAAAATAACAAAGTCGAACACTTGTGCTGCAACAGGTTTGGTATTGATGTGAAACTTTAACCCAATTTTTTGAAATAATGCTCTAAAGCTCACAATGTTGTGCGCTAAATCAAGCTTTGTTTGGCAGTGTGCTAAATCATAAGTTGCTTACATGTTTGACTCAATAGGTGGTGTGCGAAATGCTGCAGTTGCTATTTTTGTACATAAGCCTATTGTGTGGTAAAAACTCTAGTGAACTGATTAATTGTTGAGTAAGTGTGCTGGTCATGGCACATGTAAGATTGACATTCAGACTGACATTCTGGTTTGAGTCTTGCTTGCAACATTCCCTTTTCCCATTCCATTACACTCTAAAAAATGCTGGGTTAAATGCAACCCAAAGCTGGGTAAAATAGGGACAAACCCAACAATTGGGCTGTTTTGACCCAGAGGTTGGGTTAAATGTTTAACCCAACCTTCTGGGTAGTAACCCAACCACTGGGTCAAAACAACCCAATTGCTGGGTTTGTCCCTATATTACCCAGCACTAGGTTGCATTTAACCCAGCATTTTTTAGAGTGTACAAGTAGCTAAATTTGTACACATTTATGGTGTTCAAGGAATATATGAAAATGTGAACTTACTACAAGTTTACGACTGTAATTTTAATAAATGAAGCACTACAACATCTTACCCTATTGTTCATGTGCAGGCGAAGACTAATATCCCAGCGTTCCTCACTGGAGACTCTGGAGGATATTGAGGAGAACGCCCCTCTACGCAGGTATTACCAGTAGGACCATAATGGTTCTCTGCAGAAACAGAGACGTTACTTCGTACATGGGTGATTCTGACAGATTGTGATCAATTATTGCTTGGGTAGCCCATCTAATTGTTCATTCAGATAACATTGTGTAAACCTTTTTACTTTAAAAGTGATATTAAAAGTAATTTTAGTGCTGTTCAGTATGATTTCGCACATAGTTTGTTTAACACAATTGTTTTATTTACTCTTTAACAAGACTGGTCTCTTCAGACATAGTCTGGTTTACTAGAAGTGCTTGTAATTAGTTACACTAGGATAAAGACTAGAAGTGTAAGAAAAACACATGAAGTCAGAAGTCAAGTTAAATTCATTTTAGATAGCACTTATCACAATACACATTGTTTCAAAGCATTGTTTCAATTGTTTTAATTGTTTACAATGAAATGTATAGAATATCTCATGCTTTCTAGTCATAAGTGACCCTGGACCACAAAACCAGTCATAAGGGTCAATTTTACGAAATTGAGATTTATACATCATCTGAAAGCTGAATACATAAGCTTTCCATTGATGTATGGTTTGTTATGATAGGACATATGATTACATTATGATGTAATATTTGGCCGAGATACAACTATTTGAAAATCTGGAATCTGAGGGTGCAAAAAAAAAAATCGAAATATTGAGAAACTCGCCTTTAAAGTTGTCCAAATGAAGTTCTCTGGAACATTATCTTTACTTAATGTCCTAATGATTTTTGGCATTAAAGAAAAATCAATAATTTTGACCCATACAATGTATTTTTGGCTATTGCTACTAATATACCCAAGTGACTTAAGACTGGTTTTGTGGTCCAGGGTCACATATAGTTTTAGATTTAGCAGATTAGCTGAGATTTGCCATATAGTGTATATATATATATATATATTGCCATTAGAATATCAGTATTGTTTCTTCAATGAACAGCATTGATGCTGCTCTGTTTTATCTAGATGCCGAACTTTATCTGGTTCACCCCGACCAAAGAGTTTCAAGAAGGTCCACTTCATCAAAAACATAAGACAACATGATATGCGCAATGGAAGGTATGCTCGCATCTACCCAACAGCCCACACACAGACATCTCACAGAGAACAGCACCCACGCATCAAGTGTTTCAGCAAAATACTCCCCCTGAAATTTATTCATAGATTTTCCTGCTTCTCAGGTTTTTATTTATTTATTTTTTAAATGAATGAATGTTTATTTATAACTTTTGAAATTCAATTTGCAAAATGATTTCCCTTTTTGATGGAATTTCCCCTGTATAAATGTGAATATTTTCATGAATAGTAAAATGTTTTATAAGGTCGTGCCGTTTGAATATATCATACATTTTCTTTTTGTTTCTTTTTAAAAACATGGCCAGTTGAGGTTGTAGAAACTGGAAAAGGCAAAGATGTTTTTTGTTACTTTCATGCAGATGTTCATCAGTGCGTGTTTGTGATATTTTTATACCTAAATGACCCACTGGTCTTTTAAATTGATAGTAGGAGACAGAGCAGACACTCCCTGAAACCCAAATATTTGAGGCATGTTATTAGTGTTTTGTTTGTTTGGTTTTTTGATATATATATATATATATATATATATATATATATATATATATTGATTATAGAGTGCTAGCCAGATGCTCTCTTTTATCTGAATGGGTGTTTTGGAAAACAAGAGGCCGTGACCAGCATCGTTTTTCCTTTAGGCTTTTGAGAAAATCCATAAAATACACACATTTGCAGTCTTCCAATGAAGACGCTGACTTTTGTTTTGTAAAGCTAACTGCAGTGTTTGATGTGTCAGAAAGCAGGACAATGTTTTTTTTGTTTGTTTTTTTTGGACCGTACTTTGATCCAACATTTTGTGCTTATTATTTTGTGCTTTAGATCAGTTAATAGCAGTCAATGAACTTCTGAAGAAAATATAAGAACTTGAAAAGCCTTGGCAGAATATTCCATTCTTATATCTTTTGTTTGTAAACTTGTTCGGTTCTCAGTGGTCTCAGTCAGGTTTGAATTTACTTCAAAGATTGTTTTTATTGGCAGTTTGCCTTTCTTTTTGTTTTCTTCTTGCCTTTGTTGCATATTCTCTCAGATACATTCCCACAATATTTATATGACATACTATTTCATATCAGTTATTTACTGTGTATCTCTTCATCTTTGCCTGTGGTCCTGACCTCTATATTGACAGAGTTCACTTCAATTAGTTCATGTATCATTTTGTCTTTATAGGATAGTCCTTATCAGTGGCAGAAGATCCTTCTATAGTGTTTTTTCTGTCCTGCCCTATCGAGATTGTAGCCAAACAGGGTATGTATTCTTCAGCATGTAAATGTTCTCTTCATCATCATCCTTTTTGTCCCATCACTTTTCCCAACCTCCCATTTCATTTTATTATGATTTTTTTCTGGCCATTAGGAACGGGTCCAAAAATACACATTTAGTGTCCTTATCTTAAGTATTCTTTTACCTATTATTTGAATGTATTAATAAAATGTCCTCAATTATTAAGTAGTTTTTAGACCCTGTGCACAGATCATTTGGATAATTTTTGTATCATGCATAGCTGTCCAGATTTTTGGTAGTAGGTCTGTAATTTCAGTTCTCAGAGACTGACCAACAAGCTTGAGCATGCTTTACAGAGACCTCACCCTTGACTGTATTGCTGTTTTTCATTTTTATTTTTATTAATATATATTTTTTAGAACAGGCTTTTTTATTATCCTGGATCTGCAGCTGTATAGCTATTTTTTATATTTAACAAACTCTTCATCTACCTTGATATCTAACTTCTAATGGGACGTTTTTCTTACCTATGCACTGGCATTGCCTGCTTTCCCATTGTTTAAGGCTGAAGCTTGCAGTTTATTTCTGTAATATATTAAATGGTTTCTCCTATCACAGTTTAATATGCAGAGACAGCTGTAAATAAGCCGTTTGTAGTGAGAGCTACAACTGTATGTTTGTTTGAATATGCTGAACAACCACTGCTCAGCTAATGGTGTAAATTTGAGGCAGAAACTTGTTAGAAAACAGCTATTTTGCACTTCCATTTATATTAGTGATTGCACATTTCAGCTTTAAAGTGTAAAGTTGAGGCCTACTTAAATTCATCTTGCTTTGAGCATATGAGTGGAGACTCTTGGGTTGTTGGCTTGTTTTTAATGATAGTAGCTTGAGGGAATCTCAATCATTGGATTTATTACTATCTGAGATTAGACTCTATGGGGGAAGGTGTAGACCTTGAGTCCTGCTGTATCTTACTTTTACTTTTTACTTTTAGTCATTTAGCAGACGCTTTTATCCAAAGCGACTTACAAATAGGAAAAAGTAATTAAAACTAAAAGCTAAAACTCTATAAATACTATATATATA